AACCTGCGACCTCTCGCTGTCAAGGCGAGTGTCATAACCACTAGACCACGGAGGCTTCATGGTTTCTTTGATGATTTATATATGATTTAACAGTGTTAACGGCTACCTTGATTTATATATATATATATGTATATATATATATATATATATGCATATGTGTGTGTATATATATATATATATGTATATGTATATAGGCCTATTTTATGTATATGTATATATATGTACATATACATATACATACACGTATACATATAAGTATATATATACATAGGCCTATATATACATATAAATATATATATATATATATAATTTACTAAAATGTTTGAAATATAATACAGAAATACACTCACTCATTAGGGTATTATTGTGCATATTGTACTTAAGATATGTATGGCATAATTTTCAATTAAAGACACTGTTACATAATAATAAATATATGTACCTATAAAATACCAATACTATCGGTTAAATGAAACTATTGAATTTAGTAAAAGACCGGCTACTTACTTGTAAGGAAATAAATAAAACGTTACTCATGGAACCTTTAGCACGATGATGATATCAATTTATGCCTACACGATGTTGTGCGGCATTTTCAGAGTCATTAACTTTAGTATAATAACAACATTATATTCCAGGCATGCATCAACCGATCTTATTAAATTGCGTATGAATGTAAACACAATAACCCTGTTTACTCTTCTACGATATCACACAATATCTGGACAGTGTTATCACATTAATTGCTCTCTACAATTAATACTCAATGACGTAATTCAATTTCATACAGCTACGAAGATAAGAAAGTGTGTATAGACAAAAAATAATATTAGCCACATTTTACTTTTGGTAGTTCTACATGATGACAGCAGTCGACATGTCACCTTCATGTTATTTCCTCACAATATTCAGTTCAATTTTACTTGGAATAGGTAAGTGCTGATTATTTCTAAGGTGCAAATAGATCTTAATGCAAACTAAAAAATCTGCTTCTTGAATACTTTTAAACCTTGTTTAAATATCTGTTAAATCGCATATATTTCTAACTATTTTTCCTCTCTAATTCGATTTATTTCACAATATTCCCCATCGAACCTCCAGCACTAGGTACTAGTTCTTCTGCCAATTATTTTAAGTTAAAATAGCGTTATAATAACGTTCAGCTTGGTTTTCAAAAAGATTTTTTAGAACCATAAAAACGTATTTGTAACTAAATAACATTGGAAACGTTGCAACAACGTTGTTTCAACGGGCTTTTTTAGAACCATAAAGACGGATATTTATGACTTAACAACTTTAGCACCGTTGCAACAACGTTAACGTTATTTTCTGAAATAACCAACTAAAACGTTCACAACGTTCGTGAATGCTGTTAAAGTTTTGTGTTTGCTGGGTTATTAATGACGTCATTTTGTTCATTATTTTTTTTTAGGTGTGGCCGATGAGGTTTGTTACGGTGATCTTGGTTGTTTTAACAATGATCTACAATGTCATCGACTATCATTTCCACCAATGGCACCAGATATTATGAATGTTCAGTTTCATTTGTACACTCATGTAAACCCAGTTAATTTTACTATCATTGACCGGAATGTTCCAGAATCATTGACGTCAACATATTTCAATCCACATTTGAAGACAGTCGTGCTTATCCACGGCTGGACAGATACCGCCGGCGGTTGGACGAACAGGGTACGAGATGCTCTGTTACAACGAGTAAGTACATAGTATTAGTATTATTTATTGTTTTTATTATTATAAGCCTACTAATAGGCGTACTAATAATACTAATGGTAATAAAAATAATAATAAACACCACCATCATCCTTATCACCATTATCATATTCACCATCGTCTTCACCATCATCATTATCATGATTATCAACATCATCACCATCATAACCACCTACATCGTCATCACCATCGTCATCATCAACATAACCATCACTAAAATCATCATCAACGTCATCATCATCATCATACATAATCATCATATTATTAACATTACTGCCTTCCCAGCTTTACTTTTTTTGTGAAGTCAAGCGGGAATGTATGGCCTAAAGTTAGCTGCGTAGGACTACTGTAGAGAAGATTAACTAATCGGACCTGTTATTATACAGTATGGTAATCATTATAATTACTGTCATTGCGATTATTTTTACCCAGTACCAAATGATAGAAATTACAAGACTAACGATTTTAACGTAAAATACTGATGCAGGAATCTGTGAATATCGTGGCCGTGGATTGGACTATTGGTGCTGGGCAACTTATCTATCCAAGATCTTGTCAGAATGCGCGTGTTTCTGGCAAGGAGGTAGCTTTATTCCTAAAGTTCATCCACGATATTACGGGGGCCAGCTATAGTAACATGCACTTGATCGGTCACAGTCTTGGTGCCCACGTGGCCGGTTACGCAGGAGAGGCACAACCTGGTATCGGACGTATAACAGGTATTAATTTTTTACAATTCCACCGAAATATTTCTCTTATGTATTTTCGAAAATGATATATATCTGTCTCTTATACACATCTAGATGTGTATAAGAGACAGTGCATCAACCATATATATACCTACCAACTAATCAACTTACCAACCAACAAATTAAACTGAAAACCAACCGAATAATCAATAACAAATCAACAACAACTAACCAACCAACTAATCAGTATATCAATGAATAAGTAAATAAATAGATAAATAAATAAAATAATAAATCAATCTATCAAAAAAAAGTTAACAAATCAATCAATAAATTATGAAATCAAATTATACGCAATGTTGGCCTATGTCAATCTAAAAATAGCACACAAATACAGTATGCAATTTCAATTTTTGAACAAAAACATGTTCAATGTTTGCTGTCAAGCTATGATTAAATACATAGTAAATTTCCTGTACCATATCTGTAGGCATATATTCCCTATTGAGTACTCTCAAAGAATATTCATAAATAAACTGACTACTGATAAATACCACTTTATCTGTTAGATGTAAGCATTCTATTTGTAAGCTTATCTATACCAGGTAGTGATGCAGCTGGTCCCGGCTATACCGTTTTCGATCGACGATGCCGGCTAGATCAGACGGATGCTGATTTCGTAGACGCGATTCATACAGACGGTGAATTTCTTGGAGCAGGCATGCATCGAGCGGTATGTTTATATACAAAATATTTTTTTTTTAACAACTTTTTAAATAACAACTGCCTAGTCAGAAGGTATTACTCTATTTGAAGTAGCATACATAGGACTATGCTATAGTTATACGCTGTCTAATATTCTATATTTTAAATCGTCGCTTTGGTATCCTTATTTTTTATTTACAAAGAGATATACCTGTCTCTTATACACATCTAGATGTGTATAAGAGACAGCAATAATACAAGGATACAATGAGACTTTATTCATCCCACTACAGATAAATATTATGGCTTAATACAATATTATGACAGCAAAAATCATTAGACAATAGTAGTAGTAGTAGTAATAATAATAATAATAATAATAATTATTATTATAATTATTATAATAATAATTATTATTATTATAATAGTAAATAATAATAATTGATGTTTTAAAAATTGTAAACTACTGTAGAGAAGGTGAGAGTTTCCACTACCTAACCTAGCCGACCAGTATGAACCAACGACCAGTGCAGCAGCGTGTTCTATCGCAATCTAAGTGGTAGATTCTCTAGGCCCCAGCTACATTTACCTTCGATAAAAAACGAATTATTTTAATCGCTAGCTAGCATTCTTACATTTAACAAAATATTGTTTTAATTTTCATTAAAACGTATGTATACTTTATGGACCTTTCTGTCCTGTTTTGTAGTTTTTAGGTCGCTCAATTGTGTTCAACGGTTTACATGCACTTCGCGAAAATCTAGCTTCGCGGTGTCAAATAAGTTGCTGATTTCCACACAGTTTTTTATTTCGTCATCGTAAACATGTGCGCTCATTTTAACGACTGGCGTTGGTGGTAGTTCGTTGAAATTGAATTAATAGCGAATATTATAGCAGAAATAGAAAAGATTGAATTGTCAATAAATAAATACAACAAATCTGATTTTATTATTAAGAATACATTATCACTTTGAAAAACGTACGCAATCGGACTTTTTAACGTTATTACTTGGTCGATGATGCAAAGGGCAAAGGTCATTGGTAATATCGACTATTCGTAAAACTGACGTTTGCTGGGTGTTTACCCAAAATATTAAAAATAATTTCTGAAAACCAGACTAATGAGACTACTTCGATGCTGTTAGCCAAAAGATGATAATGGTGGTACAATACAACAACGCTTGCTTAGATGCCTACGTTACGTAATCGTGTCCTTGTAATCCGAGGCGACTTTACCGTTAAGCAAGTTAATTTACCGTTATTCTAGTAAAGTTAAGTCACTTAACTTAAGTGACTTAATTCCTTTATCTAGCTATAATTGAGTGGTTCGCGTCGAACTTTTAACTAGTTAAGTGGATGTATATCTAGATAAAAGTTCGACGTGAACCAGGCTTTTGTGTGTGTGTGTGTAAAGATATTATGCGATAGTATGAATGCCATGGGTTTTTTCCTATTTCAGTACGCACACATGGACTTTTATCCTAATGGTGGAAAAGATCAGCCAGGGTGTAGAACGATATTCCTTGACAGTGAGTTTGCCAAACTTCATACATAGATTTATTCAGATTGATATCATTATAAGTTTACATTAAGTTATATTTGACAATTTAATTAATTTGAAACCTTATTAGCAACAAAGTATCTGCTTTTACCGCCTGTACCGACTTTCCCCTTTTGCATTTATTTACTTTTCCAAATAGTTATTTATAATAATGTTTTCTTCTGTCTTCTTTTTGTACAAGAGACTTCTGTTTTTTAAGTTCTTTGTAAATCATCGCATTTTTGTGATCTCACAAATTTTAGGGATAAAATTCAAGAACTGTTGTTGTAATCTGCATTACATACAAGTAGGCCTTCGTGTTCATTAAACTAGGCTAAATCCTAAAGAGGGCGAATGTTTGTTACTTTACAAATGCTAATGAATATTGCTTTATTGAATGTACTATAACAATATGTTCAGAAAATAATTTCTCTAATAACTCCATGTAAACTTAGTTAATCCTGGTGAATGATGTTTTATTGCAGTTGATAATTGTAACTTTAAAACCTTCAATACTTTTCTACATTTAGGTGGATGCAGCCACGCTCGCTCGCTTCACCTTTTCATTGAAAGTATTCTATCGGATGGATGTCGATTCAAGGCCTACCCATGCAGAAATTTTAGTGAATTCCAGGCGGGAAACTGCACTGAATGCGGGCAGCTTGGCTGTCCAGAGATGGGTTATTATGCAGACCGGTATATCAATCGGGCTAGAGGAAAATTTTACCTGAGTACGAATGCTGATTCGCCCTACTGTATTTCTTAATTTTTCAACTTGTTCCATGCAGTTTTGGGAACATAAAGCCTATGATACTCTTAAAATAAATATTTACCGTTTTGTTCCACCAGACAATATGCCAGTCGTATTCGTACGATATGTAATTGCATTTATTAGATTATGGATATCTCTGTGGTCGTAATTACGACACAGGATAGTATAATCAGGTCTATTGTAGACTAATTGCAATCACAACTAGCTTTAGGAATGAATACAGCTGACAATATATCCTTTGCATATACTGTATGGCATAACGGAATAACACAACATTATAAGAGTAAATTTGAAATAAGACATTGTTAGGTCTAAGGCGATACGTTGTCATTAACCTTAATAAACAGATACATTGGTTAGTAATATTCGTATGACTTTGTTATTTGAAATCCAACCCGATTCAACAACTAATAATAATAATAATAATAATAATAATAATAATAATAAGTAGAAGCTTCACAATGAGAATGAAAGGCAAGATCTATAAGGCTTGTGTTAGAACAGCGATACATATGGCACAGAAACGTTGAATGCGAAGTCATTAGAAGAAGGTATCTTGAGGAGAACTGAAAGAGCCATGATTCGGAAAATGTGTGGTGTGAAACTGTCCAATAGAAAGAATAAAAGGGAGCCTATGGATAGGTTGGGTCTGAAAAAAACAATTGCAGAAGTAGTAAAGAGAAGTGTATTGAAATTGAAATGGATGGGTCATGTGCTGAGAAGGGAAGACGATGACCCATGTGAAAAGAGCATGTGATCTGGAAGTGGATGGTATAAGAGGAAGAGGACAACCAAAGCTTACATGGAAAGATATGGTGAAGAAAGAAAGCTGTAAGTTGGTCTAAATGAGGAGAATGCTCAAGATAGGAAATAGTGGAACATGGGAGTGTCATCATGGCGTGAAAGTCAGTAACCATTCGTAAGAGCGGAAATGCTGACGTAAATTAATGAATAATAATATTAATAATATTAATAATAATAATAATAATGATAATGATGGTGATGATTATGATAATGATGATGATGATGATGATGATGATGATGACGATGATGATGATGATGATGGTGGTGATGATGATGATGACGATGATGATGATGATGATGATGATGATGATGATGATGATGATGATGATGAAGATGATGATGATGATGATGATGATGATGATGATGATGATGATGGTGGTGATGATAATGATGATAATAGTTAAGTATACGGGAGCTTCCCACATACATTGGGTTTGTGAAAAAACATGCCGGAACAATGATCACGGCCTAAATCCCTAAAACTGTTAGGTCTGATGATGACTGGAAATTCAAAATCGATAATCTGATTATTTCGATGCATACATATAACCATAAAACATAATGTAAATTGAAAATGTAAATGTAAATTGAAAACGATTAAAAACATTAAAAATTTCATTTTTCACAAATTATGATTATATTTTATCTTTATACAAATTCACATCCAAGACAGAATTAATAGATATTTACAAAAATAAGGCAAGTAGGCAAATATAAAAACATCAAAACATCAATCAAACACAAGCACAAGACATAAAAAAGGGAGATAAAAAGTAACATTAAAATACATTAGGAGAACGCAACAGGTTAAAAAACATATACGTAATAAACTCGATTATTTTAATTATTAATTATAGAATCATTATAACCGTATTATTATTGTAATTATTATTATTATTATCATCAAATGTAAAAATTCAATCATCCAAACAAAGCACGCAAAATTAAATTTCAATTAAAATTACATTGAAATTGGGAAAGAAAAACGCGACATGAAAAGGGGCCAACATAAAAAAAAGGTTGTCATGCATTATTTCATTGTTACAATCATTGTTTTATATATATAATTATAATTAATAATAACAATTACAACAACTAGCAATAAAAAACCGTCAATCAATCAATGTAATTAATAGTCAATATCATCAATAACAATCATAATAATAATAATGAAAATAATTACTATTATTATCATAATTATTACTAACATAATCATAATTATTATTATCTTCTAATTATTATTGCAGTTAAGCCAAAATCATTCATTTGGGATTGAAGAAAGAAATGGTATTGCACTCTTTCGATACCTTTCCACTTTGCATTTAGGATGCTGATACCTCACTTTTCTAAGTTCCATATTGCTATTGTTAGCAACATTAAACCATTTTTTGAAATGATTACTTTTCAAACAATTCTGGGCAAACTTACAACAGAGATTGTAAATTCTTTCAGATAGTTTTACTAAAGAAGGCTCGTCGAGAGACTGGGCATGCCAAGTACTCATGGCCTTATCCTGCAAGCCCTTTTTGAATTGATTCAATTGTATTGCTATGTTGTACAGTAAGACCTGAATGCCAAACAGGCATACTCAACACTCGGTCTTATGTAACACTTATACAATTCAACAAGGCCGTGCTTTGGAAGTTTGAACTTCTTTAATCTTCATAACATGTGCAGACGTCTACTTGCTTTAGAAATTATTTCTTTGACATTACGATCCCATTTAAGGTTATCTTGTATCCACAGCCCTAACAGCTTTGTTTCTTTAACAATTTCAATTTGGGTATTACCAATTAACAAGGTAAAAATACAGTAATCCATGGTTAACTCTTAGAATACTTTTACCTTTTACACTTTTATTAGAAGGGAGCATTGCTTCGTACCGTGAGCCTGCTCATCATAATGCAAAATCGGCCTCTAAAAAAGCATTGTACACGTAGCTGTATCAGCATGCTTGCGAAAATGGCAGTTTAATGGTTTAAAATTCAGTTTATCGACATCTGAAGGGAATATAAACGGTGTGCGAAGGGAAACTTGACTGTGACCTTGATTCAATCTGCTCTCTTTTCCTTGCCCTGTTGTTTTTCATAAACATCGATTCCCTTATTTTTCTATTTCAATCTCTCATCAATTTTAATAGTATGAATAATGCAACAGGACAGACTGTATGTTAATAAACAACGACAGAAACCCTACCAACGGAAACAAATTTCACAATCATTCAAAAACTACACAACACACATTTTAATATCTTTTACATTTACTTATCTTACAATTAATACAATTTACTCATGGAACATTTGGCACAGAGCGACATGACAGTCAAGCTCTATTTATTTCATATAAGATAATCTTTATTGTCACATTTCCAATAATGTAATATGAAATGTTGTTGTTGACTCTACATGTTAACATACATAAGGACATACTACACAGGATAAGTCTAACTATAGTCAGTTTATAGCGGCATCTGTTATGAGGTGGATTTCATCGAATCCCCCAGTAAGTTTCCTCAAGATGCACTCATTAACTTTCTGATCTCCATGATCATCACCTTTATCGTTTTCATAATCACCATCATCGCCATGATAATGATGATCACCACCACCATCTTAACCATGACCATGATTATGACGATGGTGATGATAATCATCGTCATCATCATCATTATCATCATCAACATTGTCACCATCATCATCACCACCATCATTATCATTATCACTACAACAATACGACATACAAATGGGATACTCAAATAATGAGATAACCACCAGAACAGCGAATTACACATTTTAGATAAATTTATTGTCACTATTTTCTACAAATTTCTATATAGGCCAACATAACACGATAATTTTACACCATGTTTCATATTACTAAAGGCCTAGTAAAGTATGTTTCGTAGTAAGTTCAACTGGTATGAACGAATACACTGCAGACTTGAAAACCATAAATAATACAAACTTTTCTTTCAAGTCCACCATAACGATAAACACTTTTACCAGGTAATACAGTTTCACTAAATATTTCAACATAGTCTTAGTAGTTTAGCCTAACCGGTTTTGTTGATTATGTTCTTGAGTAGGCAGAAAGGACGCTTGTCAGACGTAGAGAGGTAGAATGTCCCACTACTGACACTCGTGTCAGTGAAATAACCCATTTTGGGGCAGCCCAGCAGACTACAAGATGTACATTTACCAGCTTCAAAACGTCTATTGTTCAGGCAAGGAAATGCTGAAAAACAGTCTTTGTCGAGGCTTTCAATGAACAATTCTGTTGCTCGGCTGTGACTGCAGGATACCTCAGACATGTTTGCTGCAAATTTAAAAGAATTGTTTTCAATCATCTTGTCTATTTCCAAGTACATATAATTTGTAATGCGCTTGGTTATATTATATAGGAAAACATATAGGTAGGCTTATAAAAGGTAATTATTCGTCCGCCAGGTCATCCATCTATAATAAATCATCCATTTCCGTCCTACCATTAATTGCTCGTATTAGCTCGTTCAGTCGTTCATTCGTCGTTCAACTCACAACTTAAATAAGATGGAGTTGATTCCAGGATAGGTACATCTGTTACATTTGTAATGTGCCCAGAACACTGTAATTGGAAATCAAGTATCCTAACTAATTCAATCTAGACCATTTAATGATACAATCACATTAAAAACATTAATAAGTGGCATTGAAGAAACTTACAAAAAGCGTCAAAAATTGTTTCGGGACAACCAGGCTGCTCTTTACCACCATTTGGGTAGAAGTCTATATGACCAATCTAATAAAGAAGACAAATATATATATATATATATATATATATGCTGTCTCTTATACACATCTAGATGTGTATAAGAGACAGTAATGATGGTGATGGTGATAATGATAATGATGATGATGATTATGATGATGAGGGTGATGATGACAGTGCATCATGCCAACGATGTGCTTAAAATTGTATAACCCATAGGTATGCTACACAGACCTTTGGTGAGAATCCAAACATGTTGCAGTTAGAAATCAGTAAATTTGCGTTTTAACCTACCACCACTTACGGTATTCTTCATTGATTGAGAGCAGGAGCAACACAATCGCAGGTAAAGTTCCTTTCCCAGGGGGAAGCAAAATGAAGCATACAGCGAAAAGTTCGCCCCCCCCCCCTCCCAAAGTTAAGAACCCAATTGGAAAACACGGTGCCGACCGCTCATAATATACCGAACCCATGGATATATATATATATATATATTGATTGATTGATTGGTATAAGGCGTAAATCTATATTAAATTGATACAATTTACGTTGTTTTATTTGTAGCTGCTTGATGATCTGTTAATATTCAAACTCTTTGAAAACAGGTATAGAACTGTGAACGTAGTTGAACAGCTGTATACATACATATGGAATAGCCCATAAAGAATATGAATAAGTTTGGCTAAATAAAGCTATGTGCGCGGTATGACAATAAGAGGTCGCTGATATTAAATCTATATAAAAAAAAAAGGCAAATATTAGTAGTTAAAATAGGTCCGCCATCAAGACGATGGAATATTTATCAGCTTCCAAAAAAACCTGATTTTAGTATGGCTAAAGTAGACTGATTTCAGCAAAATGGCCTACCCTATAATTTAACCAGGCGTGTACCCTTTCCCATAGAAGATAGTCATTGAAATATCATATCGTAATTACGCTAACATAAATGCTTCATTGATGATAATCCTAATTATAGGCTAGATAAGAAAACCTCAGCATCATTACTTAAACAAATTAGAAATTATCAAAGCGGTACTTAACGCGCGTCAGCTGGAGTGATTGACTTTTGTAACATATATATATAATCCCATGATTCGAATGTTGAAGTAAAACGATCGACAACTTTTGACAAGATTGATCTTAGAAGTGAAGTAAATCTGCTGTCTACAAAATGCTGTTGCTGTTTCTTCTGGCCTTGATTTCAACTAATGGCAAGTATAATATACACACATTGTTCTTAAGACCTATAGTAGTTCTAGCCATCACAATAACCATGGGAGTTATTATAGTAGGTTACTTAACAACTCTATGCAATAACCGTTTCTGAAATATTGTTAAAAGCTTTTTTCACTACGTTTATGAAATTGTCTGGCCAATGTCTTCCTCTGGTAGCTCAATATTGAGCCAGTACTTCCTTACGGTTCCAAGTTACCATTCTCTTTCGTAAGGAAGAACTTTGATATCCCGAAGACAAGTCCAAAGAGTTTTATACTTTTAAAAAGTTGCGTTGTCAAATAAGTAACGATATTATACCAAATGTCAGTATTACGATAAAACTGAAATCTTTGATACTGATTTCTCTTTGCTCGTTATTTATTCAGACTGTCTCCAACCATTCTTCTACGCAATTGCCAATAGGATTCTCGTTTCTTTACCTCATGTTTCAATGGATAAAAATGTCATTCAAGATTTACTATAGTAACGACGTTACTATTTATAATAGTGACATCATAATTATTGTTGTTCTTACACAGGTCCCATTCTAGTTACACCATTTTATTATTTTATTATTTTTGTTATTATTATTTTCCAGTTGATTTCCAGCAATGAATTTTGCATTATATATTTACAAATTGCAAAGATTAGAACACTTCCGTTAGTTACAGTATGGTATAGAATAGACGATGTACTATGGCTTATATTCTGTAGTAAGCTGTTATACAGAGCTAACAAAATCAGCGTCAATAATTGTCTGTATTTGGTATTTACAGTGGCAGCAGACAAAGTTTGCTATGGAGACTTGGGCTGCTTCACAGACGACCCACCCTACGACACCTTCAAGGATTTCCCGCCAAGATCCCCAGATTACATCAACACAAACTTCCTTCTGTACACCCGCCTAAATGACAATATTCCGATGACAATTGATAGAACGGACCCTTCATCACTGAAAATCTCAACATTTAATTCACTGAAAAGAACTGTTTTTCTTATCCACGGTTACACTGAAGCTGGTCTTTTCTCTGACTGGGTGCAGAACGTCAAAACAAAACTTCTAGAAATAGTAAGAACTTTAATTTTTAACAAAGAAAAATACCCAACACAAATTAGCATTAAGGTATAATGGTACTAGAATGCATTATTTGATCAGACATTATAATAAAAAAAAATTAAGGTAGGCAAATTATGTTACGGAAGATATGAGAGTAGATGCAACTTTATTTTTAGAAAAGTAAAAAACGGACACGAACCCGTTGGTTGAGCGAAGACATAGAGAGAAAAACGGTTTTAATTGACTTTCGAGCATTTAATTTCTTTAATACTGTATTAACAATATTATATTTGACAGGAAAATGTTAATGTTGTAGTTGTTGATTGGGGACTTGGTGCCCATGATATTTACTACAAGTCAGTTCAAAACATCCGAGTAGTTGGTGCTGAGATTGGGCTTTTCATCCAGTTTTTGAACAAGGAGGCAGGTTTTCCAAACAGGAAAATACATATTATTGGCCACAGTCTTGGCGCACACACGGCTGGGTACGCTGGAGCCATGAACCCTGGAATTGCTAGAATTACTGGTAAATAATATTAACTACCCAGGAAACAAAAAAAAAGTTATTATTTTTACGGACGTTTTAAAGGTTATCTTGGAATATTTTCATCTAGATCCATAAATATAATTACCAATGACTGTTGATCCAATAAAAAACGATATGATACTCACACTACGTTTCGCCAATGATCCGTTCGCTTTCTCAAGTAAATTGGTAATTTTACATCCAGCTTGGCCTGACGTCACCTCGGTGTTGTTGAGGTCGAAGTACACGTCTACGTGCCGTCCCCTCCCCCTTTACTGTTTTTGTTATCTTCAGAAAGCGAACGCATCGTTCGCGAAACGTAGTATGAGTAAAATCATATTGTTTTTTTTTTTATTGGATCAACGAAAAAGAAAAGTCTATGATAATTAGTTTTAAAGATGTGGTTAGACCATAGGGAGTTTTCGCAAGCTTACGAAAACGATAACGAATACGGTTACGTCATCAAATTTAAAGACAGCCCTTTCCCCACAGTAGCATATTATATAACAACGTAGGTGATTCATGCCTTTTGCATAAATCACGGATCACATTTACCGTACAGCATATTCTCAAGAGTGCTTAAGGCACGAATGATGATAATGATAATGACGTAGGCTTAATTGTATTCGTATAATCGTATTATCGTTTTCGTAAGGTTGCGAAATCTCTCTTATGTCAGAAAATAGCGTTTTCATCGATTTACAGAATTACAAAGAAACTTGCATATAAAATTGAGTCTGTACAAAAAAGAGCTTTGCGAATTATACTGAGAAATAACTATATTTCTTATGATTTAGCCTTGAAACAAACTAAACTTCCTTCGCTTGCGGCAAGGAGGGAAAGCCTTGTTCTCTCTTTTGGTAAAGGGCTTCTTAAATCTGCCCAACACAGCTTCATATATAAATTAAACAATTCAAATGTGGAATTGAGATTTTCAATTTTGTTACCTCATGACTGATAGTATTATAACGCAGATTTGTTTGCTTGGTATTATTTAAAATTGTGTAATTTCATACGGTTGTTTATAATTACGGTATAATGTGTTGCTACTTTGAATATTAGGCCTATATGAATCTATTATATCGTTTCCATTGATTCAGCGTAAAAAATCTTGTTATACCTTACATTATAGGTCTATATCATTTTAATGAATCAGTCTAATACTAATTGATAACAATTAATTTTTTTAGGTCTCGATCCTGCTGGTCCCGAATTTCGTTACAACGATCCCGAATGTCGGCTGGATCCGACGGATGCGGTTCTTGTTGATAACATACACACGGATGGTGAAACGCTCGTCAGTTTAGGATTTGGTCTGCTTCAACCAGTAAGTGATCACGAAAATTATTATTAAAACGTTTTCATCATTTGTATTAATTGAAGGACACCAGAAGGCAGTATAGAAATAATTGCAAACAGACAGGAATTGAAACAGCTATTAGTGGTGGCCTGCACAGCAGTCGAATAATAACATTGACTTTAACTGTTTACCTCATTTTATTTTTTAAAGATTATATTTACTTATCGTTGTTTTATTTAAAATGTTATTTAAGTACACGTTGATCCACAGGCCACGCATTGTAATTTTATGTCTTTGTGTGGATTCTTTAAAAAAAAATAATAACAAAATAATAGTAATAATAATAATAATAATAATAATAATAATAATAGGCCTAATAATAATAATAATAATAATAATAATAATAATAATAATAATAATAATAATAATAATAATAATAATGATAATAATAATATTTTTTTTTAATCAGCTTGGGCACATGGATTTTTATCCAAATGGAGGCAAGGAACAACCCGGATGCCCTGCGACAGTATTCGATGCATTAGGTAGGTACCAGCTGACGTACACTGAATAAAGCTCGTTCTTGTTATAATGTCCATTTTAAACTTACAAAATGTATTATTTGCAATTCTACTTTAGGCTTTCAAATCAAAATAAGAGTGCCGATAGATAATTGGCCATAAACCGTTTAATAATAATAATCAGTTATTATTTCTAAAGATAGCTACAGTTTACCAATTGCGTCATGACAATAGACCTTTCCGGAGTGTCAATCAAACTTATCAACTGACTAATCAGAACAGCGCTAGGGATACGCGCGCGTCTCACAAACACACGTGTTGTCCCACAAACGCACGTGTTGTCCCACAAACGCACGTGTTCGCGTATGTTTTAACACTGTCGTCTTGTGGGACCTTAGCAACAATATCCAAGGGGCGGGGCTTAGCGGAAAGGTCCATTGTGACGTTTCTGCTGCCTTTTCTACGTTGTCACGTCCTATACATTTACTTTTTCAGCGGCTATCGATGAAGTGTCTTGCAGTCATAGCAGGTCGCACCAATATTTTCTTGAGAGTATGGACCAGGCGGCCAGATGTACATTTAAAGCGTATCCGTGCGCTAGCTGGGATCGATTTGTTGAGGGAAAATGCTCAGATTGTGGTCTGTTCGGATGTCCAACGATGGGCTATTACGCTGACCTGAGTCTAGCAAGTGGGAACTTCTACTTAGAAACTCAAAGTTCAGAACCATTCTGCAAGAATTAATTCCATAGATTAGCTATAACTTTTAAAGTTTCTCAACGATTCAACTATTCGAACTATGAATATTCAAAGAAATAATGACTTATTTAAATAAAATATATAAAACATTACCGTATATACAGTGAATCAGAATAGTTGTTATGTTAGAATAGCTTGATAAGTATTAGAATTTTTAATCGAAATTGCAAGTTATGAATTAAGAGGCGTCATTGTTTATTGTTTTTTTCATTGTCAAAAAACTAGAACATTATAAACACAAGGCAGCTTAGGCCTTAGAATGTGATCTTAAAAGCTATAAACGTACAACAAATTACTCAAAGAAACATAAACACAAAAAAGGTATAATAGAAATATACAGTACTCAATACAACCCTGTTCACAGTATTAGAAATAAATAAATATAATAATAATAAAAAATATGTGTGTGAATTGTCTAATTTTCTGGTGAATGAATCAAACCTAACCAAAAACAGTCAAGAAAACAATAATTCATATCCAAAAGTCTTCTTAACTGGTGCGTTCCTGTGGGGTATTCTCAGCTAAGAACACTTGCACATTAAGTTTTAAGTAGACTATTGGAGAACAAGAATTTTAATGACCTACTTTTACATTAGAATAATAGAAACTATGAGATCGGAAGTTTTGAGTGTTATACTCTTTGAATTTGCTCACGTCAGCCAAAGCCTTAGTCAAAACGAGGTGGTTGTCAACTCAAGTCAGTAGTATTATATACATTTATGAATAT